AGTGCAGCCTTAATTAAGTACACTTCACAGGGTAAATCTAATAAATATCACACACATTTAAGAGGACTTGAACTTGGAAAAATTACTATGTAAACAGTATCTGAGGAACAGGTATTTGTATGCTTTAGTTAATAATTTGCTCTGACTTACCACTTTTAATACCTGTTCCTTTCTCAATAAACAGAACATTCTCCAAAGCAGTCGCATGATTTATATGCTGGAAGCTGCCATCAACATGGTAAATATTTATACATTGTTGGTAATTTAAGTCTCTGTTTTCTAACTTTATTTTATAGTCTGTATTTCATAGCCCCCTTAAACTGTTATTTCAACAAAAGTAGAAGACGAATGTGGTATAGAGCTTTTATGACAAAATGCAAATCTTGTAAGTGACCAAATAAGTCTAAACCTAGGGTCCACGTATGTTGACATTGAATGTGAAAAAGACAAAGTTATGATTTGTCTTTACTGTGTTTGATATCCCTTGGAGTCTTGCCTTTCAGGCATTATCCATATAATAGGAGTTGGGATGTCACTTAATCACAGTGATTAGCTACAAACTTTCTTCTTAAATATGTAGACTCAAATTTAAGAAGAAAAACCAAACCAACCACAAAGTGAGAGCAGTAAACACTTTCTCACAGCATGCATGTTTTTATTTTTATTTTTAAAAGACATCTTTCTTCTACTCTTCTGGAAATAACATGTGTGTGTATATAATTTTTTTAAATATCATTGTTTTAGTACCATCCATGGCAGCAATGGAGATTGACATCCCACTGTGCTAAGTACACAAACAGAAGGTAAAACTCCTTGGTCTGAAGAGCTTCTATGCTGAAAAGAGAAAATACCCACAGGGTGGGTGAACAGGAATAATATTGTCTATACTGAAGCACAGGGCAAATAAGCAACTTTTCCTGTGACCCTTTGGGAGCATGTAGCAGGGCTAGATATTGAACTCAGATTTCAGAAGTTCCAGCCCTATTCACGGATCATTGTTGTTTGCTGTAGTTCATGAAATAGGATTCTCTTCTATAAGAAAGATCCATGTCCATATCTGCTCTTAGGCAAAATAGCCTATGTCTATCAACCTTATGTTGATAGAGGGTGCCATAATATAGTGAGAAAAGAGAATGTAAACACTTGGGGATACATCCTTAAGAACCTGAAGTGGTACATAGGAATTTAAGTCCAAAATTTCAAACTTTCAAGTGTCTGCTCAGGTGCCGCCTAATCCTGGAGGTGGCTAAACTCTCTAGGCACCACTCTTTTCAGTGTTATTGTTTTCACATGCCTTAAGTTGACCTACAACACGGGTGGGCAAAGTGCATCCTGTGGGCTGAATGTGGCCTACCAAGCCATTTTATCCGGCCTGCAGGGCCCCTAAAATGTTTAGAAAATTTATATTCATCTGTCCCTGGCTGCCTGTCATGCAGCCCTTGATGGCTTGCCAAAACTCAGTAAGTGACCTTCTGCACGAAATAATTGCCCACCCCTGATCTTCAAGGACCTTTATGATGATCTACAAGGTCCCTTCCAGACTCTAACAATCTATGAATCTAAGTTCTGCTTCTGAGAACGTATAGGAGGGCCTTCACCTTTATTGTGATGCAGTCCCTGATCCAAGTGATTGTCTTGGGTTTATTTTCAATTACTATGTCATGTGTGTACATGGGGCTGGGGAGTTGTATGTGTGTGTATTATATGCACTAACTCAAGATGCTGCATTCCCAGCATGACTAGAATCATGATCTCTCTGACTTAATGAATCTTGTTTTAAATGCAAAATTTTAAGTGTGTCAGTAGGAGGGATTAAGAGAGCCCCCTCCCGCACCACCTCCCCCCTTAAATGTCTTATGTACTCTACTGGTTAGATTTTGACTTTTTAATTTTTTTTTTTTTAAGTGCATTAAGCTTTTGTAGGTAGTCATTCACCCAGCTGTTGAGATACACAAGTTATATTGTTAGGTTTTACAGTTCTTCGTAGAAAAACAAGTATGAAAATGAATTAAGAAAGCAGAGATTTTTTTTTTCATGCAATTCTGGACCAGACATTAACCCTGAGCTAAGGAAAGGTATTTTTTACATAAGAAGCATGTTTGTGCAGACACATGAATAAAATCAATCAATAATCCGATGGTATCTTTTTTCAATAAATACACAAAAGACTAGAAATTGACTAAAATGTGATTGTGAAGCATTTTGAGTTAAAATAAACAAAATCCATTAATCTTAAAAATTTAATTTTGTGCGGCTAGGACCAAGGATCAGCATAATGTGATTACTTTTTAAAATGTGTTGCACAAAAGAACATTTGGCATATTGAAGTTTGAAGAAACTGTAAAAAAAAAAAAAAAAAAAAATGTTGTAGTAAAAAGCAGTGTATTAAAACACAAGGGAAAGTATATTGAATGAACAAAGTACATATTGGTCACAGTCAGTAAACACAATTAAAATTAAACTACAGGGGAAAGCTAATGGAGTATTTTATCAACAAATCAACATAAGCAATAATGTTTAATAAATACAATAAAGTTGAAAAATTAATAATGGAGCAAAGTTAAACTATTAGGGATTTTTTTGTGCATTTACCTATTCCTGTTCATACTTTTCATGTATATGCAATTTAACAAGCAGGAAGAAATCTAATATGTACAATAAAAAAAAGCTAAAATACAACACCTTCCATTTGATTGGAATTATCATTGTCCTCCTAAATTGAATAAATTCCAGTTCAAGTTGAAACTAAACAATGTGAAGACAGGAGAAACATTTCACTTAATGTTATTGCAGTTAAGTCAGTCAAACATTCATTTCAACCAGTCATGATCCATTTACGAATATGCAGATTGCATACTATAATACTAGAACTGAAGTATTTATTCAGGAAACAGTTATCTTCATAATGTAATATGGCTAAAAAATTACCATTGCATCCAAATCTCTTGGATGTATATTACTCTTTTTTTTTACATCTTGAGTGAAGGAATTCATTATTTGACTACAGAGCCAACGTTCCTAAAAATTTGGTTATGGTCTGGTCTCATTGGCCTTAAAAAGATTGACTGAACTCTGAAAGAACGATGCAGATGATAGGAAAAGCATAAATAAATTTAAAATATACTTTTTTGTTTCAAATAAATTCTAACATAGGAGCTGAGAACCTAATTGTAAACTGGCGTCTCTATTGAAAGTTGTCTGGGGTGCAAAGCATAAGATTTAAAGTACAACTTAAAACAGCTATTCTTGAGTAAACAGTGCATACACCTTGACAGCATATGACAGATAGGTTTCAGGTATTATATACCCGCAGTAGCTCCTAATCTTGCAATCATTAGGGTGGCAAATTTCCTTTATGTGAGGTCTCCTTCTCCTATATAAACCAATTAATTTAACTTCTCATGGTCAACGTGTATATTTTTATATTTGAGATGTATCTTTTTAAGTTGAGGGCCAATTCAAACACCACTGAAATCAATAGAAGACTCTTATTGTCTTATTGAGGGTCATACTTTTAGATTGTAATTTCATTATGGGAGGACCTGTCTCATATATGGTGTACTCTAAGTACTGCTGTAAAAGTCAGTACATAATATAAGAACACGTGAAATAGTAACATTAGATCACTTCAGACATGGACTAAATCTTTTAGGTAATATAGAAGTGAAGAGTATAAATCTTTTTACCCAAACTGCTTTTTTAAAGTGTTTTGAACTCTGATTACCACAAGCCCTAGAAATTTCAAATGGGAAATGCCAGCATAATAGAGCAAATGAAGAGTTAAGATCCTATGTAATATTAAGGAGTAAATAAAAATTATTATGTTTACTGGCCATTGTACAGTTATTCAGAATACACTTTCTAATATTGAAAATAAATTGTTGTCAAACTTGATGTGAATAACAGTTTTCTCTAGAGTCCTTCATAACATCTAACTATCCATCTAACAGGTAGGTAGCAAATACTGCTTTATGTTACAGTTTTAGATACAAGTTAATAAAATTCTTCAGAAATTACTAGAGGAATGTGCACTCATCCAATAAGAATAAAGATAAATCCTTACTACATGAGCTAAATATACGTATATGCATTGGAGCTGCATTTTAATATGGATATATTGCTGCACAAGGGCTGATCATTTAAAATATTAATGATGAATGGTAGCCAAATGCAGGCAAATTGAACTTAGTATTAACTGTAATTTCTATGTAAAATACTGGATTTTAATTACAAATAAAAGAAATACTGCATACAGTAACTGCAAAAGTATACTCAGTGCATTGCACGTAAATCATATTCATCACGCCAATTACTCCTGTGATTTGTACATGTTTTTTTTTAAACAAGGCAAAAGTTTATCTTTCCTATTGACTCTATCAAGGCAAGTTCTAGAAACAGTTTTATATGGCTAAAAATGAAAATACCACAAAGAAGGACTCTGTATATTTTTCTATCTTGTTCTTTCAAAATGTCACATCTTGTAAGTAGCTTGCTTAGCTTGTGGTTTCTGTAGGTAGGTTTTGCTTCTTGAGGAGCTCCTTAGCCAGTCCTCCCAAATAATTTAGACTTCTGAGTGGCAGACAAATGAACAAATATACAAACAAAACTTGAGCCCTTCTTCTCTGTTCTAGGCACTAGAAAAGGAGCCCTTTGGCTCTGACTACAGCACAGCAGCCTACCCCCTCCTTGGTAGCAAGCTTGTTCTACTTGCAGCTTACCTCTTGCTTGAAAACTGCTCCCTTGTAGTCAGCAGCCTGTCTCCTCTCTCCCCTGGGATTTTAAAATCCTCATTATCTAAATACCCTGCATCTGGGTTTTCTCAACAAGTCTAACTGTTCTCTCTAAAAAGACAGAACACCGTCACCAAAAAAAAAAAAATAATAATAATAAAAGGGTTTTTTTTTATTATTCTATTGAATTTATGCTTAGGGCTTCATTGCACATTACAATAAGTATGTGTTAAATACATTTAAAACAAGCATCCACACATTCAAGAAGTAAAATATGTGATAAATGTGCTTGTACCATAGCAAAGTTACATTTTATGCGAGAAGTATCTCCAGATTGTATTAGGTAATATTTATTCAGGTATGGTCAGAATGCTCCACAGAGGTGACCAGGGATCCAGGTTTTCTGTTCACCATAGAAAAACATGGTAAAACATGGATTTTCTCATTTTAAGGAGAAAAACATAGATAATGGTGGCTTTCTCATTGAAGGTTGGCAGAGTTTCAGCCT